ACTACTAACAATTCCATGTCTCTTAGAAGTAGTTCTAGGAATTCTCCTCTTATAGAAAACTGACACTTTGGAAGATTCAGCAGACTCTCTTTCACTCAAAGTTTTACTACTCTTAGCAAAATGTCCTATGTTTTGAATAGGTTGCAAAAGTGATTGGGTTGATGGGTGAGGTGGTTGTGTTTGTTTTGTAAACAACTGAGATGATATTTGTGATGCAGGTTCCTCAATGGGTTGCTCAATGGGTTGGTTTGGATCCCATGGAGTGGGAGAAATGTTAAACTAGTAGTCTGCTGTGTTAACCCCAGCTCTCCCTCTCCCTCTCCCTCTTGCTGTTCCTCTCCCTTTCCCTCTCCCATTTCCTCTACCTGTCTCAGTCACAACTCCTCTCCCTCTCCCTCTACCAGCTCCCCTGCCTCTGCCTCTAGCATTGCCCCTCCCTTTCCCTCTCCCAGCTTCCCTACCTCTCCCAGCTCCTCTCACACTTTCAGTAACTATTTGAGTATCATTCTCTCTATGAGGTGAATCCATATAGTCACCCCATTTTTCATCTATGCATTGATTAATAGCATGGTCATTTTGCTCCAACTCAAAGTCATCCATTGGAAGTTTACCTATAACAATTATATGGCTCTCAAAGTCTTCTCTAGAAACAACCTCAGCCTCCACTAACTCAGTTACACTAGACTTTCCTTTCCTAGGTGTTGTTTTACATTTCCTAACAGCCACTTCAGGTTCAACAACTACACCACTTTGTGTCTTCCCTGACATCAGTGACCTAGCAGCTTGGACCACCTTACTATCCTTACCTACTGTTCCTACCCATATGTATATCTCCTTCTTCTCAGGCACATTACTAAACATTTTCATTAAGTCAGCATCACTTAAAAGACTAACATGCTTCATTTTAAACATATAGTTAAATGTAGGGTGTTCTGGAGTTTCTATATTGTCCCTAGCTGCTTTCTCCCAGTACTCTATAATTAGGTCAATCAAATTGGCCTTATCAATGTCCTCAACAACAACAGTCACATCTTTACCAAGGTATTGAAATTGTAACTTTATATTATCACCCATTCTGCAGCAAATATAAGTAGCATGTATAAGCATATAACCTACAACATCAAGTTCAATATTCAACTAATTCTAACAATAAAACCCCAATAATTAACTCCATACACAACATAACATTAATTTTGCCAAAATAAACAACAATAAACCAACAACAGTAGTAGTAATACACTAAAACCCTACACATTTACAAAAACAGAGCATGTACCAAATTATAGCGAAAAAAATACATACCTGACTTAAGATCGCACCTCAAATGGTATAATTCGAACAAAGATCGAACCTTTCTGACAATCGCAACCTTTTTTGCTACAAATTCGCCTCCAAATGCACCCAAATTATGCGTCAGTCGCACAACCCAGATACCCCTTAACAATTCACAAACCTTCCGAAAAACCCTAATTTAATTGCTACTAAATTATCCTAGACAATATAAACTAGATTTTATGAGAGTTTTGGAGCAAGAATTTTTAGTCAGATTCGATTTTCAGAGGCAGCAATCAAGAACTCGAATGAAGATGATGAAGTTCAAAAGTTTTAATCAGACCCTTTGACAAGACACATTTGGTTGGCTAAAATAAATGGGGATATTTTAGTCAATTCATCTTTTTCCTCCCATTTAAGCATAAACCATGGTTAATTATACTTAAAATGCTTAACTCAGGTCACCATTGAATTAGATTAGTTAATTATTGATTACCATAGATAATTAGAAAAGTTAGTGTTTACCATTGAGAAAAAAAAGAAGTACATGAGTACCATTGAGAATTTCCCAAAAAAAAATTATTAAACTCTAGGCTTACAAGCTCAGGGGGAAAAAAAAAAAAAAAAAAAGAGTATACAAATACGGAATACAAAACAATAATTCATTTGATAGACAACAATAAATTATACGAAATATGAAGTATGGAGTACATAATATTGATATTCAAGTCCTATATGTGGCATTCTTTTTACGAAAAGGAGAAAAATTTATAATATTGATCATGAATTTATAGAGTAATTTGTTGTGAAGAGCCTCAATATATTTACATGATAGTGTCCCTTTTAATATTGTCATCCTTACCCCCAGGCCTTATCTCAAGGTCCAGGAATCGAATTCCAGACTTCTAAAATTTAAAGTAAGAATCTCGTTACCAAGTGGATCAACATTTATTAGTAATCATGTTTGTTTAATGTATAATACATATCTTGGTTTTTTACCTTGTTCATTTAACCTTCTAGAATAGAAATTAAAATGGAAGATCTTTCCTTTTTTATTATTATTATTTTTAATATCCAATAAGGCCAAGAAATTCCCTCAAAAACGGATAGACTTTACACACAATCAATGTGTAGGGACTATAAAGAATCATGCATCGAAAGAGAAGTTGCCAACTCAAAGGTAGGTTAGTTTTAGCCATGCATGGTTCACTTCATCTGTACAAATTCTAATTATAGGTTTGGTTTAGGTCATTTCTCATAGAACCTTAGGTAATAAGGTTAGACCAATTTTTGTATTGTTTCTTTAATTTGGTAAGTATTATTATTATTAGCGTTAGGCTTATGTCTCTATTTAATTACTTAAAAATAAACAAAGCTTAAAGTAATCCTTTACTTCCACTTGTCCAAATCTATGCCTAAAAAGGATATTAATTATTAGGTAAATAGCTAATCTTGGCCTCTTTGATTTCTAGTGGACATCTATTTGTTCTTGGCCCACGTAGTTGGATTGATCTCCTTAGCCTTCATCAATAATTATTAAAGATAAAGATTATTGTTATAAAAGACACATAAAAGATTATTAACAATATCAGCAAACAAGACATAGTGACATATATTATGTAGTTTACTAATAATAAGTTAGCTACATCCATGAATAGGTGACTAGATAGTGTTTATTAATCTTGAAAATTGTACAAATTGTGGAATAGTGGATTTATAGCTTATGTAGTACTCCCAAAACTAGTAACAAAATAGTATGAATATAGGTCAATGAAATAAAAACCCGAAAGGCCACATATTAAAACACTATACTGTGATGGTTGTTTGAAGGGGGCTAATTGATTCCATGCATATTCTAACATTGGTTGAGGAGCTCTACCTAATAGTTTATTAGAGATCGAATTGGAAACAAATTAAATTCATAATTGCTATAATTTGATATGTCTCCTCTATAGTTGTTAGAGATCAAGTCAAATTGATTGATGTGACCCAATTTAAGTATTCAGTTGAGAATTCTCAAGTAATTATCAGGAAGGATTATGCCAAACTCGATTGAAATCTCAATAAATCGGACTCTAACCTATACTATCTTAAACCTAATTGAATTAGTCTAATTATTCATAGATTTGGACAATTTATACCTAAATCCTACTCGTCAACATAAAATTTTCCCAGGCAATGCAAATGGCACACTTGTTAGATAGTCTAATTACGGGTGCTTTTAATTTATCTTTATTAATAGTGTAAAATCAATTAAGGTGACAATTGTTTGAGCTATTTTAGCAAAATGTATTAACAAGTCAACCTAATTCAACAACTTAACATTTCAACCCTTTGAAAGTCCTCAAAGGTACCATAGCTCATTCGAAAATTGCTACTCATACAAGGTATGTTTACCCTAATTCAATGTGTAAGCAAAACTAGCCGAAAGATATAATACAGTGGTCAACATTCGAAAGAGCAAAACAAATTTTAGTCAAAGTAAGTAGTTTTCAATTGAAGCGCCCACTAGTACGGAAAATCAACATTCAACCTTTGAACGCACACTTGTAAGTAATAAAGACTACAACTTGAGATCTCATACTAAAAAGAAACCAAAAAAAAGTTTTAAAAAAATACTTTGTATTTAAATAATTGTGGATATAAATTAATTATAAAAAAATCCCATAAATAAAAAAGCAATAAGAATAATATCAAAAAATCCTAGATTCTCGAAAAGGCAAAGTAGTAGCATTCCATGAGTAACACATCAAACTCTCTTCCTTTATCCAATCATCATTTGTGGGGGTTTAGAGATTATTCAATTTTACAAATGTTACTATCAAAAATCTATTGATATTTTGACGTCTTACTTTGTCCTTTCTAAGTAAAAAGTCTCTCATTCTATGTCTCTAATTTTGTTTGGGTGTCTTTTTATATTCTTATTTTATCGCCCTTTTTAAATATTCTGCTATATACTCTTTATCTTTTATACAAAGCATAAGAATAGTTATGTTTGATGCTCTTCAAGCTTGTTGCCTTAATGTTATCATGTGTTTCTAAAAATGAGAATTCAAAATTTCTGTTTTTAAGATATATATAATATTATTAATGATTTTGGACTTTTAAGGACTTAAAATTGTTGAAAACTATTTGAGTTTAGTAATAGTCCAAATTCATAACACTATTATTTACAGAGTATTAATTAAAATTATGAAATTTCATTTAACACTAATTGACATGATCTACTACTCAATTACAAAGTTACAACCATTATTGATGACACTAACTTGTCATTGTAATCAAATTAATATAAATAATTGATACAAAAACTAGCATCACTAGAATTGTCTTTATTTCTTTAATTAGTATCTTGTTATGTCACTACTCACTAGGTGCCTTCAATGATAATTTTAACGTCTATTTATATCAATTATAAAGATAAATTCATATTAATAATTGTAATTAGATCATTATTCATGCAATAAACAATTAGCTAGGCTTAAAATAGAGGATAATGCATCATCCAAACTTTTTCATGTGTAATGAACTTACAAAATGTTGTATCCTAATTAAAAAAAATTCCCTAAATCAAAGTAATAAATAAAAAATACAGAAATTAGGATGCAACTTGTATAAACTCTGAAACTAAATATTCTTTATATCAATAACTTTGCTTTTGTTTACAACATCAACCAAATTTACATTGAACTTTCAAAGTATTTCTTGATTGTGATCAAAGCCTAGCTATCTATCCCAAGTATCTAAGAGCTTAATTATAAAAAAGAAATTCAAAATCACCACCACATCTACTATTTATGCACCTACATCACCTACCATAACAATATATCAATGACGTGGTGATTTTGAAACATTTGTGAAGTAATACAAATCAACTATTGTAAAAGAAAAAAAAAAATTGAAAATATTATTTTGCCCCTAAAAACAGAAAATTATAAAAGTATTAATATAACCAAAGAATTTAAATTTTAGCTAGAGGAGGACGGAGGGTGGTAAGGACCGGGTTGAGACCAATAACCACCCGAATTATCGGCGGTGCCGTCACTACTACCACCTTGTGACGGTGGCCGGAAAATTGTTGTTTGATCACCGGTGAAATTTTGAGGAAATTGAAAATTGGCCTGACTATAAGACGATGATGACAACAATGATGATAATGGCGGCGAGGAGAAGGAAAGTGAAGGAGGACCCATTAATTGGCGGGAAATTGAAGGGTAAAGTATGTGCTCTAGGCCAGGAAAGTTGAAGTCACCGGAGCTTTGCAATAGTTGAGAATATTCCCAGTAGTCTCGTGCCACGTCGATGGTACTCTGTTGCGGTTGTTGTGGTGGTGGTTGGAAATGGATTGTTTGAGACATCCTGCTCCCCGGAAAATAAGATTCCGGCGCCGGCGCCTGCGCCGGTGATATGGTGGCGGTGGTTGCCGGAGTTGGACGAGCGGGTGTGGGGACAGATTGGACAAATTCGGGGAAGTTGAGTTTGGCGCGGTTGCCACGGAAGCGGAGGGCTGCCTCGTCGTAGGCACGAGCGGCAGACTCGGCGGTGTCGAATGTGCCGAGCCAAACCCGAGCTGCTTTGTGTGGATCACGTATTTCGGCAGCCCATTTACCCCAAGGTCTTTGTCGAACTCCCCTGTATCGACGTTTCCTTTCTCCTCCTTGGGCTTCTTCGTAGGTCGAGGGGGTGGTGTTAGTGGTTGTTCGCGGTGGTTGTTCTACTGAGGTTAGTGTGGCAGTGGTACTCATCATTGTGGAGCTTGAATGAGAATGAGATTGTATTTGTTGCATGGAACTTGGTGTGTGCATTTCTTCTTTAACTGCATATAGCAAAGAGCATAGCAAATTTAGTACCTACTTATAAAACCAAGATTAAGTTACAACTTACAAGCTTACAACTCAAATTCTTTATAAATACTTGTTGGCAAACTAAGTATAAAAATAGAAACTCTGTATTTATATGGAATAAGTCATCATAAGAAAAGTACAAATAGTTAATATGTGTAGATAAAAAATATTTGATCTAACAGTTTGACAGGATATAAATAATAGGTATATTAATAAAAAATTATTATAGAGTACGAAGTATTTTATTTAATGTGACTTATACTTTATTCAACTTATTTATGTTTTTTATACAGTAAGTTTTTTTAACGTTCAGAATAGTTAGATGTCGAAAAGTAAAAGCGACAAAAAAAAGGAATACCCCATTAGTATCACATTACTTGAAATAGTTTAATCTTTGGATCTTAAACAACGAATTCTTACCCATACATAAAAATCAAGAAACACATGCAATAAACATCTTATCATAATAATTAGGAGCTTATATTATTCTACATTATTCACAATAATTCTTTAATCTATAACAAAAAAGTATTCACTTAACGACACCTAGCTATAGTTGAAAGGATTATTCTACAATAATAATCATAGACAAAGAACGAGGTCATGACCAGTGGCATCCGTTAGGTACGTAAACATTGTTGCTTCTTTGTTCTTATACTTCCTATTACGTAAGGACTGTTATCTTGTGTATTATTATAGAATTTCGATTTTCGAAAAATATAAAAATGCTTTGATCCATGACATTACACGCCTTAAAATATACATATTAATTAGTAGGTAAAGTCTTACAGATGGTACTCAACACGCAAGTTCAATCTGATCGAAATTCGTATGCATATATGTATATCAAGTGCATGCACTTAAATTTGTTGATTCATGAATCTAGCAAATACATTTCTAGTTGGAAACTTGAACTACTGAATTTATTTTTTCTTATACAAATTCATGAATTGAAGATGGTCAAGGGGAAAAAAAAAACACATGCACGAGTAATCAACGCACAAATTATTTCTTACTTTTCTCAGAAGTTAATTTATTTTTTCCTCGACATGCAATAATATCAAGTATAAAACAATAAAACATTGTATTGATAATCATGAATTAAATAAAAAGGAAGAAAATAACAACACGACATAATAATTTACTACGTATTGCTAGTTGAATTAACAAGTAGACTTGGTCATCATTTAGATAAGAAGGTTAACTCCTCGATGATTTGGATAAAACTTATCCAACCTAAAATAAAAGAAATAAAGAATAATAAAATAATTGTAAGAAAACAAAATCTAACTTATCACATAATATATGACCTACATATAAATCACCTAATTAATAAACCTTAATCATATGATCACTAACTTCATTCATTGTCATTTCAATTTTATATTATACTCCTATATCTTACAAAGTAATAGAATAATTATTTTGAAAATTAATACTATTCTATTAAAAAGTATATTCGAGCTAGCTCACATTTTATGCACTACGTATGTGCAATGCTAATATGCAATGTTTGACAAGTTATCTAACTTAGGAAAAATCTTCTCTTACTAAAATCAATCTTTATTTGCTTTAAAATAGTTATTCGATACAATAATCGCTTTAACGTAATCTACTATTAACGAGTCATTATAATTCATCACATTTTAAAGAAATAACAACGTTACAAATTAAATCTTTTTAGCTGTATTATTTGCACTTTACGGGCCGCCACTATAGTATATGTATCATTTACAAAGAATAAGAATTAGGAATATAGAATTTTAAATGTGTTTATTTAACAAGTCCAAAAAAAAGGACATAACTTTATGGTTGAACATGATTTTATGCAAGAGGCAAGAGCACATGTAATATGCGTATCTAACAACTTACATATACCATGTTCTAAATTCAAACTAGGATATATAAATTATATAATCAATAATAGTGGTATTAGAAAAATGACAAAATAGATAGATATGATATATTGATATGTACTTACCACCACTTGCACTAGATGATGTCTCTCCATATATCAAAGGTATATCCCCTAACTCACCACCACCGCTACCGCTAGCGCCACCGCTTTTGCTATCTTCCCTCCCTCGCTTTTGCCCCACCCACGGTGTCGTAACCGGGTATCCGTAAAATGACTCACTCCACCCACCACCACTACCACCAACACCGCTACTAGTACTCATAGTAGTATATCCACCACGGCCGGAAACTACGTCGGTCAAAGCCATAACCATAGCCGAAGTCTCCCAATTAGTCCGAAACACGGGTGCTTCCGCCTCGGCCGCCACTTGTTCTCCGCTGCCTACGGTGTTAGCTCTCTCTTCATCACCACCACCGCTTGATTGAAAGCCCTCGTACTCCCTTTGGTTCGCCACCTTTGATACACACATGTATAAGTAACAACCACGTTACTTGTTGTTACCTACTTATATACCAAGCAATTTGTTTCCACCACTTTTATTTTAGTATTTTTCCAAATAATAAAATAAAAAAGACCAAATAAAGAAACTATCCAAATTTAGTAAGGAAATAGATAATTTAATTTCTCTATAATTTAATTAATTATTTGTAGTTTTTCAGAAGAATATGTATTTGAGAAAAGAGTGGGATTATATATGGTAACACCCACGCACGGATTGGTAGTGCCGCAAGATGAACAGAGTTGTTACTCTGAACCTGGTCCTGCTTTATCAGAACCTTTTTAATGATATTTATATAATTTATTTTGTTATAAATTATATAAGAAATAAATCAACGGAAAGAAGAATTCAAATTAATAATATACTTTGTAATTGGTTTCATGTAAATTGAACATGTGATATAATAAAAATGAAGCAAATTGATAAAACAGTTGCCGACTAAAAATGTGTTCACACTTAGAAAAATTGAAAAAAAGGATGAAGATGGTTTGCTCTTATTATGAGTTAGGGGGTTTGTCGGTGAAACTATAAAGAGATGATCATCGTTTCAAACTTGAATTCCTTTTCTTTCATTTATTCCTCTTTAGTTCTATCTACATAGTACTAGTGTTTTTTTAACTCCACTTTTTATCTTGTACTAGTGTGGTAAGTTGATAACTTTTTTTTTTCATTGTACAGTTGTAGCATAGATACTTTGGGCTTGTTTGGATTTACTGAATTAAACCGAATTGATTAGAGCTAAACTGAACTTAATTGAATATTTTATAAGAGAAAAAAATTAGAAAATGAACAGAACTGAATTGATTGAAGCTAAACTGAACTGAACTGAAGCTGAAGAGAACATGCCCTTTTAGGGTGAGGACTCCTTACCCTTCCCACTCATCTTCAAAATGTTTGACTCGCAATTACGGACTTAAAAATTATAAGGGTTGAGGACTTAAGGTACGGTCATGGTTCTTCTCTTTGCCTTTTAAGCAAAATATACTATTTTCGTTTCATATTATTTGCAAAGATTACAAATGATGATCAAGATAATTAATTATCAGTAGATACCAAGATCCAAATGTTGTGGAATTAAATAGGACCCTTCATTACCGGCTTTCAAGAAAATAACAAAAAAAGGACTCTCCATTACAAATTTTCCTAATGTCTTCTAAGAAAAATAGTAAAATTTACAAGTCTAAAGGTTTACTCGACATTAATTTGTAAGTATAGGTCTTCACAAAAAAAATTATAACTATGAAATCAACATTATTGAAAAATACTCCCTTCATCTCTATAAGTTCTTTATAATGGTTTTTTTCGTAAAAGTTGAAGTATACGAACACTTTAAGAGATAGAGGTAGCAGTTAAAATGAAAAGGGTTAGTGAATAGTAAAGGTAGGTAAAATTGGCCCAACAGAATTTGTGTTTCATGAAGCCTAAGCTAATTCACTAGTTGCAAACTTGCAATGGTCCCATGACTCCCATCATCATACATGAAGTATAAGCGATAAGCTTGCTAGAGAGTAACCGAGTTGGGAGGATATATAGGCAGTAGCAACTAGCAGTACTTTATTTGTCACTTTTCAACTGATTTGCTTTTTAGGCTTTACCTTAACAATTTTCCGGTCTTTGGGGAAATGATGCATTCATGCACTTATCCTTCTAGCTTCCGTAAAATAATATTTCGAGTTATTCCTAAGTTACTTCCTCGTGTTTATTTAAGTACCGTATATTATTGGCTTAGGCACAGAGTTTGGCTTAGGCACAGAGTTTTACACAAGTGAAATAAAATGAGTATTTAAAATGTAAGCGAGTAAAGTTGAGAATATCAGAATAATATAAATTGCGCTTATAAATAGTACACGGACACCTATTTGCCTTTTAATATGTTTGTTTAGGGTGGGCAGTGGTGGTGGGGTAGGTTGTGAAGTACAGGAAGTCTGGATGGAGTTGGCTGGGGGCGTGGTTGTGAACAGTAGGGGTACGGTGGTGTGTATTTTCTTCTTTTTTTTTTTTTTTAAATTTTAGCGAAGGCCAAAAGCCGGTCACTAATTTAAATTCCAAAATTGCGACCGCATCTTTTACTGGTTGCAATTATTAATATTTACGACCGTATCCATTGCGGTCGTTGAAAACGGTCGCAATAAATCTGCGACGTCAAACAGTCGTAATAATTTTTTTTTGCGACCAAGTAAATAACGACCACCCTTTTACGACTGTTGACGGTCGCAATTACTAATTGCGACCGTTTTTTCTATTTTCTGTGACCATTAGAGGCGGTCGTAAAAACCTTAATTTTTAGTAGAGGGAATGGTAGAGTATGGAAGTTTGAGTAATCCTAGTGAGATTGCTGCCCTAAACTCATGAAGAAATTGGCAGATATATATTTCACAAAGGTCACTACTTATGCATAATTCGCCTTTTCTTTATCTCCTCAGCAATCAGCATTATGGAAATCACAAGAGAGAGATCACACCTTTTCTTGGTTTTGGGAAGTCCCTATTTCAGGGTTGGGTCAGATGATAAATGATAAGACTTTATCGATGTGTGATGTGCTATCGGTTGGGTGTTCAATTGTTCTTTATCACGACGTTGTATGTGCTTTGCTTTATTTTAAAGGGTTTTTACTGGGATTATTTTCGGTGATCACGCAGTGTCGTGTGCTGGTATTATGGGAATTAAACGTCGGCATAAGTTGTCTGATATATCCTTGTTGATGTATGCTATTAGTTAGGGATTTCAGCAAGGAAGGATATTGACATTGGGTTGTTTGGAGGGCATGACGTGGCCCTACCTACAGATGTATTACTTTATTCTTGGGATCGTGGTCGCGATGTCTGTGTTGACGTGAGAGATTTTTCTCCTTTGACACATTCTAGGCTATCTGACTTTGTTCCCAGACGGATTATGGCTTGTGTGGCTCATCGAAAAGCGGGTCAAATACGAATCCAGTTGTTGGGCAATTGGATATGACTTCTTTCCTTTCTCTTGACTTGGGGAATTAGAGAAGGAGACAGTTGTATTGCTGAAGCGGATCAAGTTGTCGAAGACTCGGGACATTGGGGCATGTGCTGTTGCTCATATCTTCATTAGGATAGGATTTGCTATAGTAAGGACCCAGATTGTATCTCGGATTCTCACAAATTTTTTGTAGGTTGTATGACTTTTTCTATTTTTGAGATGTAGTAGTAGTAATAATAATAATAATAATAATAATAATAATAATAATAATAGTAATAATAATAATAATAATAATAATAATAATAATAATAATAATAATAATAATAATAATAATAATAATCCTAGTGAGGTCGCTGCTCCTAAACTCATGAAGAAATTGGCAGATATATATTTTACAAAGGTTACCGCATCTGCAGAATCCACCTTCTCTTTATCTCCTCGTCAATTAGCATTGTGGAAATCACAGCAAGAAGTTCACACTTCTGCTTGGCTTGGGATGTCCCTATTTCTGGGTTGGGTCAGACGATGAACGCAAAGACATATCGATGTGTGTTGTGCTACTGGTTGGATGTTCCATTGTTCTCTATCTCAATGCCGTGCTTTGCTTGTTCTCGGGTTTTTACTGGGGATATTTTCGGCGACCATGCGGTGTCGTGTGTTGTTATTGTGGGTATTAAACATCGGCATAATGTTGTTCGGGATACCCTTGTTGATATTTTCTACTGATCAAGGATTTCGGCAAGAAAGAAGGTTGACATAGGATTGTCTAGAGGGAATGATGGAGCCCTCAGATCTGCCGATGTGTTACTTTATTCATGGGATCGTGGTCATGACGTATGTGTCGACTTCACAGGGTCTTCTCCTTTGACACAGACAGGGTTAGCTGATTTTGTTCCTGAACAGGTTGTGGTTGATGCGGCTCAGCGGAAGCGGGTTAAGTATGAATCTCGTTATCGGGCGAACGGATATGGTTTCATTCCCTTCTCCTTTTCTTCTCTTGGGGAATTAGAGAAGGAAGTTGTAGCGTTGCTGAAGGGGGTTCAGAGGTTCTCGACGACGCAAGACATTGGGGCTCGTGCGGCAGCTCATATTTTCACTAGGGTAGGCTTTACTATAGCTCGAGGAGTGAGGCCCAGATTGTATCTCGGCTTCCCACTAATTTATTGTAGGTTGTATGAATTTTGTTTTTGAGAAATAATAATAATAATAAAATAATAATAATAATAATAATAATAATAATAATAATAATAATAATAATAATAATAATAATAATAATAATATTAATGGTTTATACTGGGGATATTTTCGGTGATCACGCGGTGTCTTGTGCTGGTATTGTGGGCATTAAACATCGGCATAATGTTGTTCGGGATACCCTTGTTGATGTTTGCTGTCGGTCAGGGATTTCAGCTAGAAAGGAGGTGGACATTGGGTTATCTGGAGGGAACGACGGGGCTCTCGGACCTGCAGATGTGTTACTTTATTCATGGGATCGTGGTTGCGATGTCTGTGTTGACTTGACAGGTTCTTCTCCGTTGACACAGTCTGGGCTTTCTGACTTTGTTTCTGAACGGGTAGTGACTGACGCGGCCAATCGGAAGCGGATCAAGTACAAATCCAGTTGTTGAGCAATTGGATATGGCTTCCTTCCTTTCTCTTTCTCTTCTCTTGGGAAGTTAGAAAAGGATGTTGTTGGATTGCTGAAGCGGATCCAGAAGTTCTCGAAGACTCAGGATATTGGCAGGGGCGAAGCTAGGTTTTTAAACTTAAGGGGGCCGAAATTTATACTTTTTATTATTTAATAGTATTGTATTATTAATTATTATTTCAATTCATTATTTATGTTTGTGCACTATTATAACTTTATAAGTTACTTCTGATCGTATTTTTACTAATCCCTTTATATATTTTTTGAGTTGGAAAAACTAATTATATGAAAGATGTTAGGATCAAAAGAAATATAGGGAAAACTAATGAATCAAAGAAATGTACATATAAAAAAATGGTGCAAAAAGAAATAAGTAGGATCAAAAGAAATATAGGGGAAACTAATGAATCAAAGAAAGGTATAAAAAAATGTGCAAAAAAAAGTAAGTAGGAGGAATCGAACTTAGGGCCACTGCAGTAAAATGAAAATCTCACAAAGTCCACAACCACTGAACTAGGACTAACAACAACAATATTTTGTTCACATTTAATTTGAATACTAATATTGTAAGGGGGGCCAGCTCCAACAATTATGGAAATTGGTGTTTGGGCCACGGGGGCCGGGCCTCCACCAGCCCCCCCTCCCCCCCGTGGCTCCGCCCCTGGATATTGGGGCGCGTGCTGCAGCTCATATCTTTACTAGGATTGACTTTTCTATAACTAGAGGAGTGGGGGCCCAAATTGTAACTCGGCTTCCCACTAATTTTCTATAGGTTGTATAACTTTGTATGTTTTTGAGATATAATAATAATAATAATAATAATAATAATAATAATAATAATAATAATAATAATAATAAGTTCTTGCCTAATAGGATCTTGCTAACGAGCGCCCGGGGCGTTAGATAAGGATACATTATATTGGTTGAAATGGTATTAAGTTATGAATTCATGACAAAATCACGCGCCGTTCGGTGTAATTAATGTTAATTTTACTCTAATATTTGCACTTTAATTCTCTGATCTAACGCCCCGGGGGCGCTCATTAGCTTTTGCCTAATAATAATAATAATAATAATAATAATAATAATAATAATAATAATAATAATAATAATAATAACATGTTCTACCAAGAAGCTCAAGAGAACAGGG